TGTCACTGAGGTGACATAAGACTAAACAACTTGAGCGTCTTCTCACACAGTGACCAAGATCTGCAGCAGAGCAGAAGGAATATGTGGTAACTCTATAAGATATCGCTAAACACAGTGCAAATTTATTGTTGTAACTTGATAATTTACTTCCAACATGTTTTAACATTCTCCCTTTTTATTTGATCTTTAAAGAGGAAGTATTTAGGATGTAGGGCAGATGGGTACACAGCGCTATTGTATGGTTAACAGAGAGATGACCTTGTTGCGCCTGTGTGTGTGTGTGTACGTATGTGTGTTTAATCAGACAGAGAGGGGGGATTAGAGACCAGGCACCTGGCAGGTGGAAACAGTTTGTACTCATCTGATGCCCTCCTGTCCTTCTGTGCTATCAAACATAAACACACACATAATATGTGACTTGTTCATAACTGTACTGTTCTATTACAGTGTGCTCAACAACCTGAAATGTACTTTTGTTTCAGATTGAGAGGCTTTGCAGTGAATTGCCCCATGGCAGCCCCAAACAGAGAAAGGAAAGAATAAATTATACAAGCCAGAAGCAATTGCCTACATATTCAGAGCAACGTGAAATGTTTCTCAAATGACATTTTGCTTCAGCAGGGGAGTTTCCTAAAATTATAGAATGAACTGTAAGACAGGAAAAGGCACTTTGCATCTTTCTAATGTAGTTCAGTTCTCCCTTCCCCCCCATCTCTCAGCTAAACTTGGGGTTGGGGTTGCCACAACAGGTTGCAGGATGAATATCAGAGGTCATGGGATTATTAATAAAATAGGAAAACTAAAAAACTATTTTCCCTCGGGATCATTTTTTTCATGCCTTCCTTGACTTGCATTCATACCTGCCTTCAAGCACTCGTTCATCCCAAGGGCCATCACTTTTATCAAAGTGACCAAGAATACAATGCGAACACATAAAGCAACCCAGAAACTTGTGACTCAACAAATATGTGAAAATGTAACAGGCTGTGAGTTTACTGCTGTTTCAAGCGCTGTTTATTTTAGAGGACAGCAAAAGAAGCTTAACTAGCTTTTAACTGTTTGTACTAGTCAGGCAAAACAAACACTTCGTTTTGACCACAAATCAACCATTTGGTGTCAGCACCGGGCAAACAGAACAGTAGCGTATCCTGAAGGGGAGTCAATTCACGCTGATGTGCGTCAGTCCGCCATCGGTGTGTGGGCTTGCATTGAAAATAATGGGACCACAAACTGGCCATCTGGTGAATGCTAATAGCTATTTCTTTTTTTTTATTTCTGAGATATTACTGTCACTTTAAAAGGCTTTACCTTTTTTGTGGAAATATTTTATTAAGAACTCCTGCTCAGCAGGTTTGCAAGGTAAATGAAGCTGACAGGCATTAAGCTCAAAAATCATACAGCTCCATCCAACTCCTGTCAGCCTTCCCAAAAGAGTACTAAGCACTCCATCTGTTAAGGCCTGCTCAAAGATAGTAGCTCAAGTGGAGTCATCAGTGTTAAGTTAAAACAAACACAGTAATTACCCAAATTATGATCTGGCAGATTTCTTTAGATTAATAGTAGCCTGTAAGAGATAGTAGATAGCTGATATCAGAGGGAGGAAAAGAGGATTACAGGAGGTCAAGAAGAGGAACATGAAGGAGGGGGCAACAAATACATAAATTAAAAATATTCAAAAGCAATCAGTGGATAAGGAGGACAAACTGTTGATGAAGAAAGAAAGGGATAGGGGCTGTTAAAGTTCAAGGAATTAAGTCATGCAGAGGAGGTGCAATGTGGAGGGGGGGGGGGTGTCTGCGGTGCCAGTGAAAGCCAGTGATGGAAGCGGTTTTCAGTTTCACCCGGAGTAAATGGTTCTGCAGGCGCCTGTCACTCTGAGGGCTGGCATAGGATGATCAGCGATGATGACGGGGGCACGGACCTGTGTCAAGATGCTGAACCCAGCTGTCAGTCAAATCGCTCTGCCCTATGGAGTGACAAGGATGGGCCTTAATCCTCCTGAAGACAGGGAGAAAGATGTAGAAGGCAGAAGAGAAAAATGAGAAAATATCAGGGAAAGACAGGAAGACGAGGGGGTAGAGATGTAGGTAGAAAGAAAGTAAGCTGCTTGAAAACCAATTATTTATTTATTTAAAAAATGAACTGATGGCATCATTAAACTCTGTACACTGAAGTCACTAAACCCAACAGGTGATTCTGTAACCTCATAAAGTTTGCCTCGTTCTGCAACAGGCGATGAAAACTGTAGCTATCTTCAATTTGGGCTTCACCATCGAGCCATCTCTCCTGGGTAATGACGTATTTGATGTCGATCTTCTTACTAGGCACTGTGATGGTGTGTGAACTTGGTTTGATGGCGAGAAGGTCCACAGGAGTCATCTTCCAGTTATCTAGGACTGTGGCCCCTCAGGCCTCATGGGAACATGGAGGAATGGACAGGAAACCGGTTCATTAGAACACAATAGAAAAAAAAATAGAAAAACTCTATCCCTATATTCACTGGAACTCCAACAAGCTGTTTTCAATTAGTGCTTGCTGATTCTCAGTGTTGGTCTACCACATCATTTCAAGTAAATGCAACTATAACTTAAAGCCACAATGTTTGGTTTGGCTACGAGGACATCTGTGTTTCTCTCTTTCTCTTGCTAGTGTTAGCTGCAGCAGAAGTTCCTTAGCAGGAATCTATGCTCTGTACTGCAGAGAAGCAAACCCAGTTTAAATATATGTCTTAAAAGATGTTCTCTTGTGTGACAAATAATGTCTCAGTGGGCTTTATACAGTAGGTCTAAGGTTTAGAACCGTGAGGCCCAGAAGGAAACCCCTTCAAAACAACTTAGCACAAAAGGAATAAAAGGGGAGAAGAGAAGAAATTCAGAAACGGGAGTAGCGTACAATTGGAAAATACTAATTGCACAAAATAAACTTTATTTATATGGGCACTTTTAAATTGTCATAAAATGTTTTTTTTACAAAAGAAAATGAAAAGAGAGATAGAATGTCTGTGGGCATTTCCCAGAAAATGTTCTATTCCATTTCCCAGAAAATGTAAATGTATGAAAAGGATCAGAAAACCATAACAACTTGACACCACGGTCACTGCACAACATTTCTGTGTACAGATTGAACTGATACTTCATGTAAAGGTGCAGTACTGGTTTTAAATTATTCATAATTCTAGATTTAAGCTAGTGAGATAGAGCATTTCTCTCATTGAAGTGCAGTAAGCACCAGTAATCATGTAGTATATTCTTCTCATGGGCTGAGGTGACCAGTAAAGAAACAGCAGCTGGTGTGCAGCAGCTTGCAAGGAAAGACGGGGTCAGAGTTGCCAAAGATGTACATATTGTATATACACATAATTACTGTATAGAACTAGATATTTAACAGCTATTTGCCAGATCTTCATTGAATTTCCCTTTCAACCACAGTGCCGGAGTAGTCAATGGCAACCCAGTCTCACAGCAAAATGTATAATAGCTACAGTGGTGTGAAAAAGTGTTTGCCCCCTTACTGATTTCTTATCTTTTTGCATGTTTGTCACACTGTAATGTTTCAGATCGTCAAACAAATTTATATATTAGTCAAAGATAACACAAGTAAACACATCATGCAGTTTTTAAATGAAGGTTTTTATTATTAAGGGAAAACAAAATCCAAAACTATAGAGCCCTGTGTGAACAAGTGTTTGCCCCCCTGTCAAAACACTGGTTTATCGCACCTGAGTTCAATTTCTCTTGCCACACCTGTTCGCAATCAAGAAATCACTTAAATAGGACCTGCCTGACAAAGTGAAGTAGACCAAAAGATCCTCAAAAGCTAGACATCATGCCGAGATCCAAAGAAATTCAAAAACAAATGAGAAAGAGAATAATGGAGCTCTATCAGTCCGGAAAAGGTTATAAAGCCATTTCTAAAGCTTGGGGACTGCAGCGAACCACAGTGAGAGCCATTATCCACAAATGGCGAAAACATGGAACAGTGGAGAACCTTCCCAGGAGTGGCCAGCCGACCAAAATTACCCCAAGAGCGCAGCGACAACTCATCCAAGAGGTCACAAAAGACCCCACAACAACATCCAAAGAACTGCAGGCCTCACTTGCCTCAGTTAAGCTGAGTGTTCATGACTCCACCATAAGAAAGAGACTGGGCAAAAATGGTTTGCATGGCAGAGTTCCAAGACGAAAACCACTGCTGAGCAAAAAGAACATAAAGGCTCGTCTCAGTTTTGCCAGAAAACATCTTGATGATCCCCAAGACTTTTGGGATATGCTGTGATAAATGGAACCCTGAATTCTGCTGTGTACCAAAATATCCTGGAGGAGAATGTCCGGCCATCCGTTTGTGATCTCAAGCTGAAGCGAACTTGGGTTCTGCAGCAGGACAATGATCCAAAGCACACCAGCAAGTCCACTTCTGAATGGCTGAAGAAAAACAAAATGAAGACTTTGGAGTGGCCTAGTCAAAGTCCTGACCTGAATCCAATTGAGATGCTGTGGCATGACCTTAAAAAGGCGGTTCATGCCCGAAAACCCTCCAATGTGGCTGACTTACAACAATTCTGCCAAGATGAGTGGGCCAAAATTCCTCCACAGCGCTGTAAAAGACTCATGGCAAGTTATCGAAAACGCTTGATTGCAGTTGTTGCTGCTAAGGGTGGCCCAACCAGTTATTATGACAGGGGGGCCAACACTTGTTCACACAGGGCTATATAGTTTTGGATTTTGTTTTCCCTTAATAATAAAAACCTTCATTTAAAAACTGCATGATGTGTTTACTTGTGTTATCTTTGACTAATATATAAATTTGTTTGACGATCTGAAACATTACAGTGTGACAAACATGCAAAAAGATAAGAAATCAGTAAGGGGGCAAACACTTTTTCACACCACTGTATATTGGTTCACAACACAAGACTTCAACAAATACTAAATGTTCCAGATCCACACACCAGCCCAGCCAGCTTTTCTACTGAAATATTATTATTTTTAGGTCTGTATGCATGTGTCTGGGCATCGGCGTGTCTGTGGGCATGGCAGAGAGGGGCAGTGTGAACCAAGAGAAAAAGCCAATGATCATTCGAGGCCCAGATGTATAGTGTCCCTGAGGTGGTCAGAGCCACGACCTGACACTCCAGCGGCCCAGCATGCTCGGCAGATGTGGGTCAACAGACATCTGTTTCTCACTACAGCCTGGGCTCAGCTCAGCTCAGCTCAGCTCGACCCAGCCCTGCTGCCATATTCATCCTAATAACCACTCCCATAATCACCAGGGATTATTCTAATATTAGTGAGCAGACACACATACACACCGAGTGACTGCTCTGATTAAGGTATAGTGCTCCATATGTTTTTTCAGAAGGTTTTTGGAGGGATTTGTATGTTTTTAGCCTTTCAGTGAAAAGCCTTGAAAAAGCCAGCTTAGAGATGACTAAAGAGGGCTCCTGTATAAATAATATTGGAAAATAGCCTGGGCAGAGGGGGGGGGGTCATGCTGGGGCGAGATGTGGACTACCAGCAGAGGTGCTGTGACAATGAGAACGCATCGTGAGGCCGTTGCACACAGATCTGGTGTTGAAGTAAAGCGTTGAAGAGAGACAGCAGTGTGCTATTCTGTCTCCATAAAGGAGGGATTATGATGCACTGACAGGATGTGTGAATCAAGATGGCACAGTCACCACACAACAGGACTAGAAAGAGACACTGCAGGGGGCTGTCAAGACAGACCCACAGTGAGCTGGGAGGATTACCATATAATGATGAAAGATGATGAAGACTGATGAATAGATTGGTGGTGCCTTCGCAGTAGGGGAGGGAGGACAACGTGCTTCTATGAGGAACGTGATATTTCTAGTGTGGATGCCAGAGCTCAGGATTTCCAGTGCAAGAAATGTGTTGAAATCTTTCATTTTTACTTACTGATTGCTTGTTTGTGCATTTTCTTTCAGTTAAACTACAATTGTAAACTCACTGTTTTCTGCCAATTCTTGTGCTACACATCTTTCTTTTAGTGTTGTATGTGAATTTTTTTACCCCTTCTCCAGCCTCTTCTTTTTTTCTAAGAGGTCTATTTGTGGAAGTCATGGCTTGCTGGTGTTTACGACTCTCACTGGGTCTCTACTGTTGATGTTTTTTCCTCTCTCTCTCTCTCACACACACACACACACACACATGTGCACACATCGGGCCCTTAGTGCTGACATCCAACTTCATTTTCTGCTGCAGCTGCATCTGTTGTCACCATGGAGACCTTGTTTATTACTTTACCCCCCACCCCCTGCTCACACACTCACACACACACACACACACACACAATGACAGAGAAGTAGGCCGGCTGTGTCTCCCCTCTGTGTTTGATTTGGTGTTATAGGACCCATTGGATCACAGCATCCAGCGAGTCCAGGCCCATATGCACAAACACACTCACAGCAGTTGGCCTGGATGGATGCAGCAGGCCCATGCTAAACACAGAGCCATGAGCAATATACTACCTAATCACCTCCAGGCTGGTCTGGATAATGACATTTGTTAAGGCTTTGACTCAACGTGCTTGAGTAAAGAGGTCAGTCTGGCTACCTTTTCTCACACGCATCACTTATATAAATAGAGAAACTAACAGCCATCCAAATGGTGCAAAGCATAAGAAGCATCTTGGTGAAGAAGACACCTACCAATGAATTTACAAAGTGTTGGGTGTGTTCATGCTTAGATGACCATGTGTGAGTATAGAGGGCGTTAGTAAAAGGCCATGCTGCTTAGCGGGCGGCAGCATGCAGGCCGGTTTTTCACAAGAGGGGGAATCTGTTATGCAACATGTGAGATCCTGCTAATCTTACTGAACAGCCTGCTCCTCCTGGCCATCTCACGGCCCATACACACACAAGCAAGCACATGCTCACACATACCTCCTGGTCATCTTCCTAGCCATGCATGGCTACACACCCAGGTGGCCTTAATGGGTTTAAGAGCAGTCGAAGATCAGAGCCCTGTCCTGTCTCCTGTCTCTGCATGTGACTGCACAGAAAGACACACAAGAGGTCAAGGAGGTAAGATGTCACCTAAACACACCATGGTGGCAGCCTGAAAGTGGAATGTGTGGACTAAGTGGAATGTATACAGTTTTATATGAATTGCCATTTCTTGCTTTGTTTTGACTTGTTGAAAGTCAAGGAGAGCAAACTCTGCGCAGCTGGGACACAAGTAAAGGCATTTAAATGTTACTGTACCAAACATTTTTCCTCTGTGGAGGCTGACTTTTATTGATTGAGCTGGCATTTGGCACTTGGCAGTTGGCAATTTTGGACCCCGTGTCTGCAGCTCCACATCTGAAGTAAAGGTCATCAGGTGACCTATTGGGGTCAGGGTGCCTCACTCACTGAGCTAAGTCTCGGCAGCGTTACTCAGCTTGTTGGCATATGCTGATAGGCTCCCAGCTGAGTGGCTCAGCCTATAACAGATGCACACACCCACACACACTTGTCTATAACAGTATGAAGACAGCTAGAGGTCCTGTCCAAGATGACCTCAAGGGGACAGACATCCTGCAGTCTGCTCTCCTCTGTAATTCCCTGATCTCACATGTGCTGCTGCATGAGGCTCCTCTGATGGTGGCTGAAGTAGAGCAAGGCCAGAGTTTATTGTTATTCATTTAATTTGACAGAGGAACAATTCTGCTTATTAATCAGTTGCTTATCATTGTTCTGCAATGCCAAGCGTCTTTCCAATTTGCTCACCCCATGAACATGTGAACTGAACTAAACTCAGTCGCTCTGAAAAGTGAACGAAGTGATAGGAGTGAGAAAATTAACCAGTAGCCTAAACTTGCAGAGCACAGTCACTATAACACTGAGAGGGGCTTTAAAATTGGCTTCTTATCAGCAATAGTTTGGGCTTACTTCATTTGTGCCAGCAGCATTTCTTGTCATTTGGCCCATATTTGTGACAGCTTTGATGTGCTGCAAGACTTCGGGGCCCTCTCTGCATCCACTGCAGCACAATGGCACAATAAATACTTTGGTAACAACCACAATCTGGAACTCAGGCAAAAACAAATAACAAAGTGGTCCTTACAAGAGTTCTTTTGTCAGGGTTTGGTTCTGGACTCATGAACCAAACAAAACAATTGGTTCCAGATTGAGGCGGGCTTCTGTTCTCCCCAGGGGGATGGTTTAAATATATCAGAGGAGAGAGAAGCAGGAATAACAGCGGAATTGGTGAGAAAGCAATTGAGAGATGAAGAATGAGTGAAATGGAAAGGATTTCAACCAAGAGTACTGTGGGAACATTTAAAGGCAATGAATGGGGTAAATAGATGCGTGGATGCAGCATCAGCTACAGTAGTTCACCAACTAGCCCTGTGAAGGGTCTCTACTTCACCAAGCAAAGATCGGTGGCTGAATTTCACTGCACCATTTGTGCAACCAGGTCTTCAATGAAAATGAAAGTTAAAGACAAACAAGTGTATACAATAGGTAATTCCTCTTGTGTCAGACAAAGAGCCCATGCCTGCAGACTAGATTGACCTCTTACTGTACATAGTTTACCATGGGTATACAAGACTTTCCTTTGTGCTATTTTTAGTGAGCCCCATCTGTATATGCATGAGGTGGGCATGTCACTGAGGTTATGTAGTAGGCACTTTCCATCCAAGATGTTTGGTTGAATCAGGTCTGCTACACTTTCAAAAACATCAATAGGAATTTCCCATAAGCCACCTCAACATTTCCATGGCGTAGTAGTCTTGAAGGACCAGATGGTACATTGCAGCTCTGTGACATTATAATGTATCT